TCGTCCGAGTAGCACGTGTTAGAAAGAAAACCCACAAAACTCTTGCTGTCTTTCTAGTGTTAGTTACCATTAATGAATGATGTTTATTAAGATTAGCAGTTACATAGCCCTTTTGATTCAACGTGGTCCACAAACATTGCTTTTTACAGCACCTATTCACAGTTGCCATATTTAAGAAGGTTTAAAGTGGAATGAGAAAAGCTCTGGTCTGAGACACTGGTGAGAAGGTCTGTCACCTCCTCATCAGCTGACCAGAAGTTGCCCTGCCACAGTCTCCCAGCCAACCTCACCTGGACCACAGTTTCTTTCACATTTCCAACCCTCCTCACTACTGACCCCTGGATCCCCACAAATTCTCTCATCCTTGAGCTCAAGGGGAACTTTTCTTCTCTCAGAATTTCTCCTTACATGCCTTGTTCCTCACAAACTCTTCCACACAGTCCCAAGACATACACAGGCCTCTCTCGCTGAGCATTCCCTCTCAGATGCACATTAGTCCTGACCTTTCCGTATTACAGGAGAGCAGCAACAGAAGCTTACAGAGTCATACTAGCCACTATTTCTATCAGGTCCTGGGCATCTCCTCCTGACACTGACCCCCAGGGGCTCTCCCCACCAGAACTCTGACCAGCACAGGCAGCCAGGTCTGCTGTCTGCTCCAGTCCCCTGCAGCCCTGGACCACAGGTTCATGCTCCCTCCGGCCATCAGCACTTCCCCTCCCTCATGCCACACCAAAGCGGGCTGCACTGAAGGTCCACTTCTTGCTATGGGATTCAAAAACCTGAATAGCAATTTGCTTGGAAGTGAGTCTGGGAAAAGAGAAAAACAGATGTACAGCAGCCCTGCCCATGCTAAGGCAAAGATGGGTTATGTGACCAAAGACGTGAGCTCCACAGCAGCGGAGAGCAAACCCTCCTGCTTGAAAAGCTTGGGTACCTGCTCTTCAGACCACACAGCAACAACAGCGTGCCCTGCGTTCTCAAGGCTGCTCCCACCTACCTAGAGCACCAGCTAGCAACAATAAAAATAAGGAAATATATACTGGTTTGCAATTCCAAATGCACAATTTGCCTAAAGCCAGAAGTAAGCTTGTCTCAGAGCAAAGATGGGAATGAATAAACTTTCTCCTAGAGCTTAAACTGTTACCTCACCCCTCTCAGAAGCAAGACTTGGGTAATTCAACCCTGAGGTACAGGAAGAAACACACTGCTGTGCTCTACTGTCACAAGGTGACTAGCATCCCCCAGAATGAACCTCCCTGACACCTATTTGTTCAGAACAAGTAGTGTCTCAGGTTTTAATGGCATCTTACTCCTCTCTCTCACAGAACGCTACCTGTACTGCAAGCAGCTGGTATTCCCAGTAGCACTGCTGGATGTGTTGGAAACACAAGCATAACCCCATAAGGGTCCTAGCCTGGCACATCATCTTCCTGCCCTCCTGCCTATATTCCAGCCCCACAGGTGTTTCCAGACAAGAGAAACCCAAAGAGCAGAGCAGGACAACATGCACCTTACTGGTCAGTGTATCTGCAGCTGGACCCCCCCAACCCTTGCCATCTCACCATGCAAAAGTGAACTGAGAAAGCTAGGTATGTAAAAGATCGTACACTGTCCAGTGCCAGCATTCTCAGAAACAGATACAAACTGAACCCGGTGGTGGTTTCTCCGCTCCCCATCAGCAGCATGACTGCAGGGAAAGCAGGAGGCATCTGGGAGCCGGTGACAGCTGCCCCATGGGCCAGCACGAGCACAAACCAGAGCAGTGAGAGGCCTGCCCTAATCTGAGCCACGGCTGTAGGACCCGCCAGGGTCTACACACCAGAAGAAGTGACAACCACCTGGCTCCTTGCCAGCCAGTTCCTCTTGAACTCTGCTCCCTACCCATCTGTCTATTGAGTAAGGCTGGTCCTTGGGACAAGCCAACCCTGCAGCCTCCAATAGCCTCAAACTGCAGAGTGCTTCTCATGTCTGCCCTGAGGCTGCTTTGCAGTTGCCTCCTGAACAGGGACTACTGAATGCTGCAAAGCAGAAAGTCCCACCCTGTGCCTCGCACGGGGGGTCACTTTATCACATGCACTCAGGACCTTCTGAACATGGATTTAGAGAGAGAGCCACAGTTTCCACATTGCTTCCAAAATGTTTACAAAGTTATGTCACTTTAAATAAGTTTATAAAATTTGCAATTAAACATATGGAGCAGAAGTACTTTTAGAAACAGGGTGACATGAAGCCTTTTACCCCAGCTGCATGTTAAAAACTCAAGAGATCTATATAATTTCACCTCGAAAATCTTACTCAGCAGATATTATATATAGATGAAAATGTTATCCAAGGAATGACAGGAGAAAGAATATCCCACTCCCACAGTGACCCTACTTAGGGGAGACTGGCATGACATATAATATCAAGGTGTTTTAAAGATATTAATTATTGACATTAATAGGCAGGGAACAATTATCATCCACTCAGTATTGAATACTGATGTCATTGGTTTGTAAAAACATTTAATATGAAACAGTTCTTGTGTAACACTGAAATAGTCTGGTAATTAAACTGTACATATTCTTTCACTTAGTGTGGGTGGACCAGGCAGGCAAGCGCATTGTTTGTGAGATCCACTGCAAGGCAACAATAATTAGATTTATTGGTGAGGCATGTTTTGAGAAGAACAGAGCTTGAACCCCAAGTGAGTATATGCTTCCTACTCATAATTCCAAGTTTCAGAGGGACTCACATCAAAATTCAAGCAAGGGTTTAAGTTCTTTCTGTTCAGCTTGCTAATTGCTGGATTATGATGACTGCACCGGAACCACTTCCCAAGGATTTCAGAAAGCTAGGGATTTGCCTCTGGGTCTCAGTTGGCCTCTCTCTGTGAAAAAGTCTTTTAAGTCCCCCAAATACACAGAAAACTGTTAAACAGACATGGTTTAAAGAAATGGCAAGCTTGCCAACAGCTGCCTTATGGAGATTTCCACTTCGTTTATGGGAGATCTAATGTAGGAATTCTCAGCCTCGGGATCTTCACCAGGGTTGAGGAGATTCATGACCATACTCCCTTTGTTATGACTCACAAAGCACAGAGCTCAGATCAGGTTATGGAGTGAAAACGTTGCTTTAATGGGAATGTTCAGACATTTAAAAGAAAAAAAAAAAAAAAAAGGTGAACTGTGTAAGGGACTTAAGAATGTCAATTACCTGAATTGGGCATTTCCCTCCTTCACATACCAACCATTTTGTGTTTTTTGCAATGGAGACAGGGAAGGACATGGCACTACTGTTCTATATTTAAATCCAGTACCTATAGGAAGCTGGTTTTCTCTGTCAATTTTTTCCTCACCTAATCTACTTGCAGACAATATTTTTCTTCTGCAGATATCACAAACACGCTCCACAATAATTTCTGAGAAGAAAATTAAGAAAGGCAGTTTCTGGGAAGTAGCAAGCAATACTGACAAACTACTGCTTTTGATACAGACTTCTGAAAGAGCTTGATGTACCACATCCAAAATCAGTGGGGGGACTTCTCGATCTGCAGTGAGAAATCACAAGGAAGCTATAGGGAAGGAAAAGGATGGAGAGAACACTTCCCCCTAAGTAATTACAGCAGTCATGAATACAAAACACAACTCCAATTCCTCATTTACTAATTATGAGGAGTATGCTTGCATGCTTCATTATAAAGATGCTTGCACATGAGCAGTACAGAATGAAGAACAGTCTACAGTTAATCCTCTTTCTTGCTTTCCAAAAGGCTCAAGAGATTTTGCCATCTATTACGGTAAATGCACAGATGCTGCCCAAATGCTAGTTTCTCCTAGCTCACTCCAACACAATTTTCATTCTTTCTCCTATTCTTTTCTCCCACCATACCAAAGCAACAAAAGGACCTCAGAGATTCGTTTCATATTTGAAAGATAAAGAAACCACAAATGTAAGTAAAAGGAAGAAGAATTTCCAGAGAGCAAATCATGCTAGGCGGACTTGACACACCATAAACAGCTGCTCTTCTCTTGCAAAGGTTCCAAAAACCTTCCTGCTTTTTTGCTTCTTTGGTAATACTTTCAGTCAGAGGGAAAAATGTTCCTCAAGGTGGTGGTTTTGGTAGACAGCCTCATTCCCAATGCACCTGGCAGTTTAGTACACAGACGAATCTCCACAACTAGTACTGCTTTATTTCTAGCATTATCCTGTCTGATTTTAAGAACTGCACTATTTCCCCCCTTCCCCACAATCTATTTGAAAGTCTCTCCTCATTATGCAAGAATTAACATTCCTTGTATCCCAAGATTCACAGCCACCCTAGCTATAAACGACCTTGAATCAACACAGGAAGATGACAGAGTCAGCCAGCAACTGAGAATTCTGGAATTAGTTTTAGTGTTAGCTTTCCACA